GTCAATGTTACCAGTTCTGGTATAGCTAAACCCTCATTTATATTTAGCACTACACCAGGAACATGGTAAGTGTGAGTAACTGCTTATTAACAGTGGAAGTGACTCACAATTCTGTCTACTGAATTTCATTCTGGATATGTCTATCTCATGCAATTTCCATGGGCATGCAACAAAGGGATGTTACACTGTCAGCCTGTTGTCTTCCCAGCCAACTCTTGCTACCTTCACTCTCTCACTTTCTGAGTGTGTCTCTACCACACTCATTCCTGACATTGTCTTCTACTGTGTGAGGAGAGAATGAGAAAGGAGAACCAGAGCTAAAGAAGCATGTGTGTTTAACCCCCAAGGGTTGGTGGGTGTGATCTGTAGAGAGAAGATAGAATGACAAACTACAGCTATTTGTGTGAGAGCTGAAGGAATAGAGAGAGAGATTCTACAAAGTGGAACCACGGTCTGTAAGTTGAATCTTCTTCTTTTCTCCAAAACTCACAAATATAAAGAATTGTATTGGATTTTCTTTTAACTACCAAAAATTCTGTTTCTTCATCCTTACTACAATCCACACTGTACCACAAGCATTCTTCCTTGAATGTGAGTTGTGAATACCCTATGCTTCCTGGGTCTTTTAGTTAAAATCTGCCTTGGAGTTCTTCTTCCTCTGTTATCCTTGCTATTGTTTTGCAAGTTTCCTATTTTAAAATATGCGATTCTTCTCTCTACAAAACTTCTAGTCACCTACTTCTATTGCCAAAGCTACAAAAGGTTTAGACTTGACCGAAGAAATTCTAGAAACTACTTTAGAAAAAAACAATCAGTGTAGGGGAGGGTAAATTGAGAAGGATCAGAGTCAAGTAGCTGAAGCATAAAAATCAGGACACTCAGAATATAGACAGTCTAACTTGCTAATATAGAAAGCACAGAGACTAGAAATAACTGCTTTGAAACCTGAGAGGCAGCAGTAAAAATAACCTTCAGGTCAGTCTTTCTTCTGAATAATTGGCCTGATTGTTCAGTTAGTATTTGCTATCTGAATGCAGAAAATAATTTAAACCCAGGGATGCCCTTTAAATTACTGATTGCTTTCACTGTGCATGAATATCTTGCTTGCCAGAACATTTAAATGCTTCATTATTTTAAAAAATTAAATCCAATCAAGAAGCTAAGAAATGAAATTTCTTCAGTTCTATTTCCTTAATTGATGAAGACTTTCAAGTTAATATCAAAACAGCAGCCCTTTAAAGATTCTCAAGGAATTTGTATGAATAGCACAGTCATAATCAGATTGGCTCTAGTTCAGAAAGTATACTTTTGTTAGCCTATCCAAAGGTTTTATTTTAGTAAAAACAGTACAAATAACAGAAGAGTTACAACAAAGATGAATTGTGATTGACAAAGAAGAAATTCAATTACTTGGAAAGTATATTTTGAGTTGAATTGAAAATAATAATATATTAGTGACTGAAATGGACATATTGATGTCTTAGAGCCATGTTTTGCTGGAATATTTTATGCATTGTTTTTCAGTGATACCAGGTCTTTGGCTTGAAACTTGAAAGCAGACACCTTAAACAATATTATATGCTAAAATTAGTATAATCTGTAGCATAACAGTGGTTTAAACGATTTGCCTATAAACCCCTTATATGAAATGGAGTGGATCATTAATTCATACGTTCGGTACTTTTCCCTCACACCCAGAACACTGCTAACTCAGAATCCTCCATCTATCTACCCTCTCCTGTTGCTATTCTTCCCAGATGCAGGCCAAGAAAGGTAGCTATTGCTCTCCAGTTGCCTGTGACCTGCATACCTCCTCGGAAGGGCTGCATGCACTACCTCTAAAGCAAGGGCACACAATAACATCAAGAATGTTCTGGCTCCATTCTGTGGGATGTGTTCTCTCCTCATCTGCCTTTTCTGGGCACCAGACAAGTGATGAAAGTAACGGTCTTGATGTTGGCAAATAATAAGATGTCAGATAACACTCTTCCACAGTTGAAGATACTGTAGTACTTTTTTTTTAATTTTAAAATATCATTTTTTTGTTTTAATTTTTTATTTCAAAGATATGGGGTACAGTTCAGGGTTAGGTATACAAATGTTCATTATGCAGTTACCCTTGTTGATGAGGTGTGCTCCCTCCCTCCCCTGGCAGTTTCCAACCACTGCCAATTTCTGTCTTACAGTATTATGATCATTGTTTTTATTAAATAAAAGAACTTAAATGTATGCACAGAGAAAACAATTTAACCAGCACAAGCATGTGTAATATGAGAGGTTTTAGCTAATCGTCTTCACACAACTCTTAACTACCTCATTCATTCCAATTTCTTTCCCACTCTAAGTACTGCAAAGATGTATGGTATGTTCTTCTCCACCCAGCCACTACCAGTCCCCACCCTGCCAAATTTTTGTGTGTCAGCATATATGTGGTGCCTCTTGCTTATTTTCTTTTCTTTTTTTTTTTTTCGAGTCGGAGTCTCACTCTGTCGCCCAAACTGGAGTGCAGTGGCTGTTCCTGGCCACGGCAGCCTCAACCTACTGGGCTCCGGCGATCCTTCCGCCTCAGCCTTCCAAGTAGCCGGAATTACAGGCATGCGCTACCATGCCCGGCTAATTTTTTGATTTATTGTAGAGATGAGGTCTTGCTGCCCAGGCGGGTCTCGAACTGCAGGCTCAGGCAATCCACTCACCTCAGCCTCCCAAAGGCGCGGGATTACAGGCTAAACCACCGAGCCCGGCTTCTTGCTTATTTTCTTAAGGATTATTTCATTCACATTTACTCATCTACTTCTTTTGAAAGGCCGCATATACACCATGGTATGGACGTGATACAAATAATGCCCTAATGCTGGGAACTTTTACTTCCCTTTGCTCCTGTTACAAAGCTCTAATGAGTATCCCCAAAATGTATACCTTTTGCAAATATATCATGGGGTAAACGTCTAGAAGTAGAGCCGCAGGGCTAGATACCTTTACAATTCAAATACATTTATTAAAATACTCTTTAACAAATGGCATCAATTTGCAACTCCACCAGCACTCTCGTAAACACTTGGTATTATTAGACATTTGTCTTTACCCGGTGTAGTAGATGAGAAATGGTATCTCACTGTTCCTTTGCTTTACAGTTCTTTAATTATGATAATATTTAATGCCTTATTTTAATTTGATAACTTATTATTTCTATTTTATGGTGAACTATTCATTTCTATATTTGCCCATCATCCTTAAAACATGGAACACTCTGCACATGGGCCAGTTATTTTTTGCACATAGACATTGCTAATCCTCTCTGAATCATTCCAGTGTGCTTTTAGGTAAGGCTCCTCTGATTTCTGTAACTGTGATCAATTTTTTTTTAAGACAAAAAAGGAGAAAATAAGCAGGAGACAAAGAGGAAGAGGGGGAAAAATACTGGAAGGTGGGAGTCAGAGAATACTACTACCTAAAGTGCTCTACTAATCCCTGGTCTTGACGACCACTCCCTGGTAGACTACAGTAGCTAGCATAATTTCTGGAAGGAGACGGAGACTGTGTGTATTGGAATTCCACCTCTGCCACTTACTAACCCTGTCACCCTAGGAAATGTACTTAAATTCTCTAAGCCTAAGTTTCTTATTTGTAAATTGAAGAGGGTAATAGTTTATACATCATCTATGTCATTGTAAGAACGGAGTAAAATAATCCACTGAAAGTGAAGAGCACTAAACGTAGCATGTGACATATACACTCCATAACTGTGAGCCTTGGTCATTACTGAAGTCGGTCAGTCCTGTCCAGGAGGGACTAGAGAACCCTCTTTCTCGGTGCTTTCTCAATGCCTCTCCTTACTTCGAGACGCCATCCTTTGTTTGCATGTTGCCTTTCTGTGGAGCTAATTTAAACAATTAGTATGTGTCGCCCAAGGGAACAAATATTATGGCTTAATAAATTATTGAAAACATATTCAAGAAATAGTCTGCTTTATCCAATCAAGACAAGCAGATCTGTGGAAAGCAGCGGATATTACATGCTTTATATTTTCAGTTCCACTGTTCACTAATAAATGATGTAAGTAAAAGAAGACAAGAGCTCCATTTCAGTCTTAAAATCTATTTGCAGTCTGATGAAAACCTAAGATTTCTAAACTTACATTCTTATATTGACAGATTGGATCTTTATTTTCTTTCCCCTTAATGATTTCAAAACATTTATTCTTTATACGGTTGCACTCAAATTCTAAACTACTTAGCTACTATTATAATATAACCTGACCTAAGATTTAGAGAATCTTTAAAATTAGTGAAAAGAAGCTGGAAAAGAAATTTTAAAAGAAGCTGGAAAACTCACACTTGTAATATGAAGTTATCTCTAGCAAATGGTATTTTGAATATTAAAGAAAGCATGATAAAGTAGCAAAGAAAAAACCTATATAAAGTCTATTTGACCTAGTTTGTAAAAATATTATTTTCTGTATAAAAAAATGATGGTTTTATCAGATATGTGCTAAAAGTTGTTTTTCCTTTCCTTCGATTTTTTTTTCCTGTTTCAAATAAATATTAATAGGTAGTATTTACTGAGGTTGGTAGATTCTGCTTAACAATCACATCAGAGACTTTGGAACGCTAATCCAATGGTCCATTTTGGTGATAAAATGTTTTAAATAAATAAAACTAATGGGAGTGACGTCGAGAGGCCATCATTACAAATGTAATAAAAGACTGATTCTTTGGAGCTTTCTTCTCTGTAGAAAGCCATCAAGTTAAGTCAGATAAAAACCGGCTATCAAGAAGAAAATGTCATTTTCGAGCATGTTAAAACGTCCAGGGGTCATAAAAACACATCTTTTTTATATTACCAGAAATACATTTATGGACAGGTGTCAATAAATTATATGAATTAAATCAATGTTTGGCTTTTTATTCAGTTTATATTAAAATAACCTGAAATTGTACATCCAAGCCTAAGCTCAGAGATGATTAAAAACTATTTTATCCTTTTGGGGTTTTTGTTCACAGAAAACGATGACCGTCTAAATGGCTTGAAAACCAGGATAGAAAATGCTGATGTTAGGAGTGAGGATCTCCTGAGAACTTTGAACGACACTTTGGGAAAGCTATCAGCCATTCCAAATGGTAAGCATTCAGGACACTGCACACTGTGTCAGTTGACCTGAACTTTTAAAGAATGTTGTTAACTTTTTTTTGAGTTGGAGTCTCACTCTGTCGCCCAGGCTGGAGTGCAGTGGCACACTCACGGCCACCCCAGCGTCAACCTGGTGGGCTCTGGCGATCCTTCCACCTCAGCCTTCCAAGTAGCCGGAACTACAGGTGCACACTACTACCATGCCCGGCTAATATTTTGGTTTATTGTAGAGATGAGGGCTCACAAAGTTGCCCCGGCTGGTCTCGAACCCGCGGGCTCAAGGCAATCTACTCACCTCGGCCTCCCAAAGTGCTAGGATGACAGGCTGAGCCACCGAGTGTGGCCTGTTGTTAACTTTTACCACTTTTTCTAAGGGTGTACTGTTGTCAGGAAATTAAATACTGGTTTTCGTACTGATGAACTCTTCTTTATGAGAATGAGAGCCTAAACCACACTTTACATGATAGCATTTCTTTTATAGCTTTTAGCTGGCGTCCAAAGGAACATATTACAAAAAGAAAGATATAGACATCTTATTATACTGCATTATTACTGGGAAATTGGTTCCAGGACCTCCCACATACCAAAATCCTTGGATGCTCAAGTCCCTGATGTAATTATATCTGTATAACCTATGCACATTTTCCCATATGTTCTAAATCATTCCTAGATTGTTTATAACTCATAATAAATATAGATGCTATGTAAATAGTTATTATAATGTATTGTTTAGGGCATAATGACAAGAAAAAAAGTCTGTACATGTTCAGTACAGATGCAACCATCCCTTTCTTCCCCCCAAATATCCAACTAGTCAAGATTGGTTGAATCCACAGATGGGTAAACCAGAGATATAGAAAATCAGCTGTATTGTCTTCTGTGTTTCAGTCCAAGAAATCTTATATTAGTGGGATAAAATAAAAACACAGATATCTTTCTCCAAAATGTTGACATACTACCATAAAGTTGCGGTTTATTATAGTAGCTGCAGTAATGGGTGAGAGCTGACAGCTATTTTCTCTTGGCAAAGTTGAATTCCTTAGCTATTCCAACTTTCAAAACATTAGTTGTCAAATCATGTCTGTAATATATTCCTACGTGTTACAACTATTTAAAAATATTCCTTGGTGTTAACTTCTGAAAGCATGCATTATTTTAGAGATATCATTTATATATTAAAGTATAATATAATAAACAAGGGTTACATACACTTATTGAGTATTTACTTAATATGTTAAGTGTATATAATCCTCATACTATAAGGTAAATGGTGTTATTATCTGCACTTTACAGTTGAGAAGCTGAGACACAGGATACTGAAGGCCATGGTTAAAAGTAGCATTTATGAGATTTGAATCCCACAGTTTGACTTCAGATGGCCTTAATCACTCTTCTTCACACACTAGTGGGCATCTATAAGGACAATATATTTTCTACATACAATTTAGGGTCAGAAACCAAATGCACACATTTATGTAACACAGAAAATATTAAGATATAAATGGCTTTTACTGTTTTAATGTTTAAAAATCTGAGTGACTTCAGATTTTCCTGTCAACTCTTGTGTAGTAAGTACATAGAACATTTCCAATGCTGAAAACAAATATCCGTACACAAACACATGATCTAACATACCTGAAAAGGTTTCCCTATCCTAAAATGGAAATACATTCACTTTCTTCCACCTCTGAAAATGCAGGTTAAAGATGAAGCCTAGTTTTGATGAAGCTCACATGGATAAATTTCTGTCTTTCATATGTTCAGCAGCTAATCACAATATCCCCTTTGACAATGAACATTTAGAACAATCACCTTGGTACTTTAAGAGCTAATCAGGTATTCATAGCAAAAATCCCCGAGAAAATTTAATTTAGCTAAAATATTTGCTTCATTTGCTACACCTGAATGAGACCCGAGTTCAGCCTTTTCCCTTTGTCAATATGTCCCTGTGGTCAGCCAGCCGCAGCCTCACTTTGACAAGCATAGATTAAGCCACTAACTCTAGACCCTTTGTTTTGTTTCTCATACTCTCACCCGCTGACAGACACAGCCGCTAAACTGCAAGCTGTTAAGGACAAAGCCAGACAAGCCAACGACACAGCTAAAGATGTCCTGGCACAGATTAAAGACCTCCACCAGAACCTTGATGGCCTGAAGAAAAATTACAATCAACTAGCAGACAGCGTCGCCAAAACGAATGCCGTGGTAAAAGATCCTTCCAAGAACAGTAAGATCTCCTTTTTCACTGTGATGATGTCATTTGTTTCTTCACACTTTAAAGATATCCCAGACTCATAAATGTTAGAGCAGGAAAAGACACTCACAGTGGAGTAGACTGCCCTTGTTTCATAGGCTGGGCTCAAGAATTAAGTGTCCGGCGAGGTCTGGAACTAGGATTCAAGTCTCCAAGCTCTGCCCTGTGCTTTTTCATCTGAATTTTGTCAAGTGGAGAGGAGATGAGGAATTCTCAAAGCCTGCATGATATTCGGTATAGGGATGCCAAACACTTTTTAATCTGTTAGCGTAATTAAAAATACAGTTGTACTTGGGGAATTATCCTCAGAATTGGCAAAGTTTCATGGCACACATGGGCCAAGGAGCATACTCATTAACAGGCCTGCTTGAAAAGGGTGTGAAAATGGTATCAACTTGAAATGTATAAATATTTGAAAATTTTGATATTTTTATTGTTTCGATTCCAGTTATTTAACATTTCCAGGAAATAAAAATAAGGCATTTATCTAAGTTTTTATTTTATTTTTTGAGTTGGAGTCTCTCTCTGTCACCCAGGCTGGAGTGCAGTAGCATACTCACAGCCACCCCTGCGTCGCCTGCTGGGCTCTGGCAGTTCTTCCGCCTCAGTCTTCCAAGGAGCCAGAACTACAGGCATGCACTACCATGCCTGACTAATTTTTTATTTTATTGTAGAGACAAGGTCTCAACAAGTTGCCCGGGCTGGTCTCGAACCCTTGGGCCGAGGCAATCCATTTGCTTCAGCCTCCCAAAGTGCTGGGATTATGGGCTGAGTCACTAAGCCCAGCCTAAGTTTTTAAAGAAGACTATTTATTCACCGCTCTTATGTATTACATCAACTCATATTGACTTAATAGGGACTATCTGGGAGAGCTTAATATAATAATAATTTCTACTATTAGTTAACTATATCCAATCGACATTAAGTTTTTTTGATGTGTCGTTTCCTTTCCATCACGTGATAAGAAATTATCTTGATGCATGGTTTCACCAAAGGAGATCCTTGGCTGTTTGTACTTTTCACTTTCTTTATATACCAACATTTTCATTGGGTATTAAAATATTTGTAGAATGTGAAGACAAAAACAGTGTTATTGACTTGCTACGCTCTACAATTCAGATGCCGTTTGACTAGAAAGTGGAGACATTTCAGCACTCTAACCTCAAATCAAATGCTGAGGATGGTATGCCGTAATGGACACTATTAGTGTGACTCCATGAACAGGGAAGAGCACAAACACATAAAACCTGTATTTCAGAGTCAGACAGACAAAGGGGAGATACAAATATTTTTAATTTTTTTAATGTGAGCCCAGAAATAACTTTTCTTGTAGTTTAAAGATTCCATAAGAATAACTTCTTTTGATAAATGCAAATTATATTTTATCCCAAAATGAACAAAAAGGAATTTTAAGCAAGTATTACTATCTATTTTGCTTATTTCATAATGCAAGATATTTCATTTTATTTTTAGATTGACAGTCAACTGACAGTAGCCTTTTCATAATATTATCGCAAACCATTTTGATCCTATTCTCTATTAAGATAAATAGCTAATTATCTGTAAATAATAATTAAATTGGGTCTGTTTTCTAGCTTATTGGCACATTATAATTAATTTGCTCTTAATATAAACAATGGCTTCCAAATGACATATTTTGTGTACTTTTATTTGATAACATTTGTTTGATTTAAAATGGATGCATTGGTAATTAGTTCCTGTTGTGAAGAGTACCATTTTTTACTGTCACTATTTTATACTATCTATGGAAAATATATCCTCATAAATTTTCTAATTTTTTTGTTTTGTTTCCATATGCAATTGCCTGCAGAAATCAGTATGTATATGTTTATTTGTATACCTGTTAGTAACACTCATGTTTCATTGCCAATTGCAAAAAGCTTCTGCTGTGCATGTTACCAAGTCTTGGTATTGCTTTAAACATTACATAGCTATTCTTTCTACTGTCACAATGTTAATCCTAGCTATATAAAAGGAATCTTCCGTTATAAAAAGGCAGTATGTGTATATATTTGACATAAAATGTTTTAATAGCACTATGAAAAATTAGTAAACTGTCAGTATGATACCCATAAAAAAGCAGAAAATGGAATTCGTCTAGAGATTGAACTAAATTACATGTTTCTGATAACACATTCAACCTCTGATGTTTAAATGACTTCTTTGCCGTAAAATTAAAATAGATTAGGTCTATGTTGTTGTTTTCTCCCCTGAAGCTCACTTTTCACCTCGTTGTAAGTAATTATTCTCAACTTCTGGAGAGTAATTATATTTGGAGAAGCACATAATAAAATTAGGTCTTAAATGAGCAAGTACAAGGATATAAAAATATTCTCAAACATCTCATAGTTTAAATTGAAAGTAAAAAAATAAAACTGCAAAACAGCTAGAAAATGCTAATAATAAAATCTAACATAAAATCTGAAAAACATGACCAGGCTGTCCTCAGCGGAAAATGAGAGCAATTGCATTACTAAACAAGCATTGAAATAAACAATTTTAGTCATCAATTCAGTGAGTTAGTAAAAGTAGAATTAACTTAACGAAAGAAAAAGATGAAAAACGTTTATGAATTGGAAAATGGAAAATAATAGACTTGATAAATTCATGAGGCGAATCTTTAGAAACAAAAAGATCTCAAATTAAATGACTAGTGGGCATGATCAAGAAAAATAAAACACCAATAGATAAGGCAGTTTATATAACACATAAGAGATTACTAAGAAAACCCTTTACTGATAAAGTTTAAAACCTAAAATATGTAGATAATTTTTGAGAAAAACATTAAGTTATCAAAATCCATCCTGTTAAAAATCTACACAGCCGCCGGGCTCGGTGGCTCAGCCTATAATCCCGCGCCTTTGGGAGGCCGAGGTGAGTGGATTGCCTGAGACCACAGGTTCGAGACCCGCCTGGGCAACTTGGCGAGGCCTCATCTCTACAATAAATCAAAAATCAGCCAGGCGTGGTAGCGCGCGTCTGTAGTTCCAGCTACTTGGAAGGCTGAGGCGGAAGGATCGCTGGAGCCCAGCGGGTCGAGGCTGCGGTGGCCGGGAGCGGCCACTGCACTCAGTCTGTGTGACAGAGTGAGACTGCAACTCCAAAAAAAAAGAATACACACAGAAGTTTTCCTTTAGAAAAGCTGCGGAGAGACACTATTGCCCCAGGCGCTCTCACACCATTGAAGCAGGAGACAGACTGTTCAGGGCTTTGCCTTATCACTTTAGCACCTGGCAGGGCACTGGAAAGGGCTCTGTACACAGTCCAGAGGCAAGTTTTCACAGAAGAGGACAAGAGAGGCACCCCACCACCATATTGAAGGTGGTGCAGGACCAACAGATCCGATCTCTGTGACTGATGGATCAACTATTCAGGGCTTGACCATGGCCCAAAGGCAATATCCTGAGAGCACAAACTTCAGAGGGACCTGATGAGTGCTGAGTTCCAGGCACCCCATCCCCTACCCTGAACCAGATCTGGGACAAAGCGTGTGGCCAGAAGGGAGGAGGAAGAACTCCAAAGAGATCAGTGGTGAGTCTTGGGCTGACACAAATCCCCTCCTTCCCAGTGATCCTCTGAATGTCAGATCCACAGAGCTGGTCCATGACTGGGAGGGACAAACAAAGGTGGAGCCTGGACGTCAGTCACAATAGGAGAACTCCATTCCAGGATAGGCCTGGTTGTGGCATCCCAGTAAGAGGATACACCTGGGGAAGAGACAATCCTGAACCTCCCCACCAGAGAG